TTATCCTATATACGTGCGCATGGATTTTGTTACATGTTTCCTAATATAATAATCATTACGCGAAAGGAGGATAATCAAAAAAAGGAACGGCGAAACGCGAGTTTATTATCGAATTTAGCAAACATTTCGAGAAATTGTAAAATTCATATTCGCGAAAAAACTTGGCAAATTGCAGAACGCAATGTTTAAGCAAAAATTCTGTCGATCGTAAATATTCTTTCATTTTTGAATTATAAAGCCAGTGCATTCCTCGAAACGAAGAAAACTAGTCATTTTCATTTTTTGCAGAAAGTATGGAAAATTTTGAAATTAAAAGATCACCAACGCTCATTAACTAAATATTGTACATGTAAAATGGACTATAAATGGAGCACAGGTGATAGAATGAAGAGGATGGAAGATGCGCGGGAAGAAGACAGGAAAAAGCAGAAAAAAGTGGAGACGTAAAGCTGCATGAGCGAGAAATAAAGAGATCCACCACGTTCGCACATCACGGGCGTCAGAAGATTTCTTTTTTCTCATGCGCGGGCGAAAGAGCATACCTGCTCTGCCCCTTTTGAAGAGACGTAAAAGAACCCTCCTTTCTCTTTACATCCCGTCTCTTTAATTAACCATCCTCTCTGTCACTACTTGCAGGAGATAACTTCGAGGTTCGACAGAAGTCTGTTAAACGCGCTATAAATTAACTGACCCATCTAATTATTCAAGCCATATATATATATATATATATATATATATATATATATATAAATGTAGCAACGACATTCTATGTATGAATTGTTGATATCAGTGTTGGAATGAAAGTGTGAATGTATGTATATATATATATATATATACATTCACACTTTCATTCCAACACTGATATCAACAATTCATACATAGAATGTCGTCGCTGCATTTTATCTCATATATTATGTTTGTTTTATTTTACACAAATAATACCTTAAATTCATATTTTTCGTTTCAAATGTCGTAGATATAAAGTGTGTACACAGCAAAATAATTAATTATAAAAAATTAAAAATGTTTGGAATACAAGAGGACTTTGTGATTTTAGAATAAATTTTTCCCCTCGCAACTTGAAATATTTTCCAACAATAAATTGGAATCCTATCACACATACGCAATGTAAAAAGATATTCATTTTTGCACAATTTATACGAAAACTCGTTACGTATAGAATAATCAAGTTCAACAACAAAAAATTTATGCAACTTTACACACACAAACATTTGTTACAGAATTATTATATATATAAAGAGCACGCGTCTCTCAATGAAAACTTTTCAGAAAAATCCTTATATATGTTAAGCGTAATTTGAACACAGAGAATACACGAGCCAGATCAGAAGAGAAGCCACTTTAAAACGAAACTTGTTGAATAATTCGGTATAGCGTGATTGCATGTAAAGTAAATTACTTTTCCTAGTAGCCACGGCACTACGACAAGGTACGAAGACGCGTATAAAAGACTGTATAAAAAATTGCGAACCGCTGTACGATCGCAGCTGTATACATATATACGATGCGTGTATACATGTGAGTTGTCGGACAGTAAAGCATACACAGAGAATGGATGTAAAATCCTTGGAGACTTCCAGATTATTGAGTACGGTCGATTGAATTTCCGACATTTGGAAAGTCACGAATAAACACAGATTGTGCGTCAAGGGAGACTCGAGCGAAACATCTTGATTTATTAAAATCCATTTCGAAAGTGAACCCACAGGTTTACATGCAAAACGAGATCCAGTCGCAATTTTAAGCTTAACTTTGCAAACATAAAATAACTCATATTCTTGCATAAACTATCGTAACAGTTTCGAATGTGCTATATTAATGATATATGCACTAAAATCATCTTTTATATAATATATTATTTGGGATAACAACATCTATTATAACATCTTGCGAGTATAAAGGTATTTTTTTAATGCTAAACGAGTCAATCGTTACAGTTTAGATAAAATAAAAAAAAAACAATTTTCATGACAATCGAAGCATTACATTTAAGTTCTTCGAAGTAGCAAATCGGATTATTAGTACTTAGCTTACTGCTGTAAGCGAAAAGCAAAGTAGTGAAACACTACTATAAACGAAAATCAAAGTAGTAAAGTACCGAAACGATTGTTCAGAGGCAATAATCGATCGTGAATTCGTTATCGGTAAATAACGGGAACAAATATAATCCGCGATTCAGAATTTGCGCGAGAAATGTTTTTCTCGTTACGTTGTACATATAGTACATGCAAGATTCAAAGCCTTGTTAAAAGCGCGCGAGTTTACTGGCCGCCGTATCTTTTCAAGAGTATAACGTATAACATTATGACATCGTAAAAACCAATCTTTTTACAAATAGGCCGCACTGCGGAATATTACGATGCATGCATCCTATTGTCTAATTGTGACTTTACAGCAATCTCTTCTCTAGTCTAACTGCCGCTTTAAAGTTTTAAAGCGAAACCTTTCAACTTTAGTACTTGCTTCTTCATAAAGCATTTAATCCTTTGAAGTTACTTTCATTCAAAAGGTGATCTCTTGATTTCTCTCTCTTCCTCCATCTTTCCTCATTTTCTCTAAACTACTACAGTATCTTTTGGATGTATCTATTTTTAATTCATTATGTAAATTTTGTTATCCATTCAATAATTGTTTTTTTTTTACATTTTTACATTTTATTTTTATATATAATAATTTAGTTATTATTTGGTTACCCATATAAAATCGCCTCGTTTATATAAATAATTAAAATTGATCTATCGAGCATCTGATGAGCTGGTGCAAAATGACATAATTTTCAACACATATTGAGAACTTTCCTCAATGGTAAAAGTCGACCAAACTGGCAATTATTTATTATAAATAATTAGTTAAAATACAACGTTTCGGCTGTCATTGCAGCCCTTTTCAAGTAAATCAAACGTAAATGCATATATTAATACAGTATGCAATAAATTAATACAGTAAATCAAATTCACTGCATACCACCGACAATATTCACCATTGTTTTAATGAACAATGTAGAATTGACAGAAGTAAGCAAGAAATAAATAGATGTTAACAGTAAGCAAGAATCTTAGTCAATACGCGTTAAGAAAATCGAGACAAAACACTTGATTGAATGGTAAATAGAAATAGAAATTTCATCATGCAGAGAATTAAAAAATTAAAAGATGCTTTAGATTTGAAAGAAGAAGTGTTGGATTTTGACCTTCATATAGAGAAGGAGGCAACGAATGTGGAAACAAATGATGTCGAGACAACTAATACGTCGAACAAAAGCGAGAATGTAAAGAGTGAGTTAATGAAGAACAACAAATATCTTTGGTATATCGCGAAGAATCATCAGGAAAAATTAATAGAGTTTACGTTGAGCTTAAATTGTATTGCGACTCATATTATTCAAAAAAATATCAAATGCAGATTTATACTATATAAAAACGAAGTGCACTGATAGGACCAACATACCGGGGGAAACTGTTTAAAGAGAAAACAGCGGAGTAACATTGTAGCTCTTCAACTTGTTCAAGAGAAGTATAACAAAATGTTTATTGATATGTATAACAAACTCAAAATATATTGCAGCAAATTTGATATGCCAAACGTAAAGATTGATATGAAACCGAAACCGTACGATAAACCTATGAAAATGCATGACGATGAAAACGAGCTGTTGAGGGATAATGAATATCTTGCATTGGTCGCAATGATGCATCTGGAAAAAATTAAAGAAGTATATGCTTTTTTTGAAATATATTGCAACAGGTTCAATGCAACAATTGGAGGTGATACCATGAATCATCGTTTCATGAAACATTTTCTTGCGACTGACGAAATTGATTTTATAGAGACGGAAGTTATAATACTGACTGACGAATTGGAAATAATAAGAAAGTATGAAAAAAGTATAATAAACGACATACGAGACGAAATCTTCTTACTAATGCAAAGAAGAAAAACTGTTATGAAAGGCTCTGTCATCGATTTGATAATTTGAACAATAAATAAACGTAATAAATATTATGGCATAAATAATTAAATATTTACAATTTATTATATATAAAAAAAATTATCTTAACAAATTCTATATTCTTAATTTATATGTCATGTAAAGTATATTAAAATTATATATAAAATAACTAATCATAAAGCATACATACACATTAACTTTAATGTTTAATGGGATTCATTTGATACATATTGATACTATTTCTTGCATTTTTAGCATATCTAACACAATTATTTTTAAGCATTTATGTATGTATTTATCCATAATAGATTTTAACCATAATCATAATTTCGATAGCTATTTATTCTTTAATAAATGTTTAAAAAATTTTAACACAAAATAATTAAGAATTATATCGTGTGATTAAAAATTGATATAATATCTATATAATATGTATATTCTAAAATTTTTGTTGCGCTAAAATTAATAATTTTCGATTTTAAATAATTTATAATTTAATTTGTATTCAAATTTTCTTAAAAATATATCTATTCTTTTAAATCATTTATAACTTTGTACATAAATACGTGTTATATATTTTTATATGCAAAATTATACGATATACTTAAAAAAACCATAAATGCTTAATAAATTTAAATAATGGTATTCTCTTATCTAAATGTGACAAAATTAAAATAATTCCTAAATATAAGTTACACATATGTTGTATACTTATATACGCATAATACATGCGCATTTACAAACAGATCTATTATTTTTAATTTTACTAATCATTATTAATAGTATGAGTATTTATTACATTCGTCATTTAATCTTTACCTGCAATTAGAACAAATATTTATCTCAGTAATATATTTAAATTAATCTAAAAATTATCGCAAATTTTATGAATTTCAATACATTATAAAATATATTTGGAATTTAAAACAGACAGCTGTTCTTAACAATAATCTTAAATGTCAAGTCACTGATGTTGTTATGGCCATGTGTTCATTTTTTCCATTCTACTGAACAGTCGTCTGTCAAAACGTGTAAAGGACATACATTGTCAAAAATCTGTTGGTTGAGTGTGTTTGAAAAATTTTCCACTGCCACGATGAGCGAGATTCGACATGACTTTTGGGTAAGATTTAATTACTTTTATTAATTCAATTCTTCGCTTTTTTCTTACACGTAAAACTATTTAATCTTTATATTATTGAATTAAAGGGATTTTAGAAAATAAATAAATTTATAGAAATATGTCAAGACTGAGAGAACACACTATTTGTAACATCGTTAAATTGTAATTATAAAATAAATGTTGTTACAATCTTATATAGTTTTACAGTTATTCTTTTCAATAATTGTAATAATAATAAAATTTAAAATTAAAAAAAAATTTCGACACATTTTCTGTATAATAAATAACAAATACAAAAGTTATTTTTATTATAATTTTTTAAAACAACGTGATATACGATTTTTAAGTAAAGACACATAAAGAGAGATTAAATTACATTAAAAATTAATAAACAATATTAATATAACATACAGTAATTATAAATTAAACAATAACATTTTTATAAATTATCATTATCAGATGGTAAAAACAAATTTAATAACTCATAAGTATATTATAGCAGAATTTATAAATTTCATAAATTTAAAGGTTCGCAAAAAAGAAATGATTTTAATGACTTTTAATAAATAAAGAAAAAAATATATTATTTATCTTTATAGAATTTTGAAATCTTAAAAACACGTAAATTAATATCAAATTTTTTATAAAATCGAATTTTCTTAAAATATTAAAATGCAAAGAAAAGTTTAAAATGTAAATTAGACATATATATATAGGTATATGTGTCCAATTTACATTTCAAGCTTTCCTTTACATCTTGATATTTTAGGAAAATTTGTTTTCTATAAAGATAAATAATTTTTTTCTTTCTTTTATTGTTATGTGTTATTTATATATATATATATATATATATATATATATATATATAACACTTATAAATTACAAAATACTTGCTATTATAAAGCGCGGATAGCAGCATAATTAGCCCAAAAATATTCTTTAAATCATGAATCATAATAAAATATACATATGTCGTTTGTCTAAGGAATAATAATGTACAAAAATAACCTTTTCACCGATTGATTTCTCTTCATGTAAAATGTTGAAATCTGTTTATGATAGTCAGAAAATAAAATATGTTTCGAATTTATTGAGGTACTGCTGGTGGACGTCTCAAACCGTTCGTCATAACATGATCCTCTCACTTACCACAGAATTTATTCCAGATCTTGTAGGTAGAACTAAAGTTGAAACCACTCGTGAAAAAATTATAGACACAATCATAAATTAATTAGGCGGAGGCAAAACAAGTTACTTTTTGTAATTTAAATATAAATCCGTAATAGGATGATGCATTTCGAGACTTTGTGACGACGAACAGATACAAAATAAAGTAATGTTAGTAGAGATGTCCACCTATATACACGATTAGAATCGCGAATAGAATCAATGGAGAATTGAATTAGTTTTTTAACATTATTCCTTAGATACATGATATGTACATTCTTATTGCGACAATTTACAAAATTTGCGCAAATTATAAAACTCGCAGATTAATATAACATTAAATGACTTCTAACTTTTTACAAAGTTACAAAATATTATATTAATATATGCACATGTCCACAAAGATTTGCATTTGTAGCTTTTTCTTTATGTTTTATTTTCACAACTTTATTTATATTATTATAATACAAGATAATTATTGAAATTAACTTCGAAATGAACAAACCATGAAAGTCGACGCTGATGTTAACAAATCAATATAATTTTAATATTATTAGCAATATTAATATTAAAATTATATTGATTTGTTATATTTTATCATAAAAATTTACTTAAAAATGTAAATTCCGTGTTTTATATATCACTTGACTTCAAAATAGTGTTTAAAAAACTATAAATTGTAACTGTTCTTCTTTTGAGTTACAGTAGCATAATAATAAAAAGTTCTGTTTTAGAATCGATAATAAATAACATAGATGAAATTATATGTTTATAATTGTTAATAAATAATGATAATGAATTACATTTAAATATCGACAATAAAATAAAGATTAATAACTTATTTTTGAAAATACTTTTCAAGCTTGAAATATGTATATTTGTTAGTTCTTTTTTATAATTATAATCACTTGTATGAATAATTCGCATAATTATCATATAAATATTATAAATTTATGAATATATTAATAAAAGTTAAATATAATATTTTGTTTTAAATTAAATTAAATAAATTATTCTATTCAAAATTTAATAATAATAAGTAATCTAACCGAAACTTTCGTCTACTACATAAAGGAAGCAATTTTAATTAGTTTGAATTCTATTATTTTCAGGAGGAAGAGATATTCCCATTGTATGAATCAATTAACCCGCCAATGTTATCAACGCTTATTCAAAGAGTCGAAAATTTGAGAAAAGATTTCTCATACATAATAAATGAATTTTATAAAGTAATAGAACAAAATCACAAAAGTTCCGAGACAGCCATAGAACAAATAAAGAAGGAAGGTATGTTAGAAGATATTTTAGATATTACGACATCTACAACTTCTGACATTCAACAAAACACTGGAGACGATGTTAAATCAATTAACCCGCACATATTATCAACGCTTATTCAAAAAGTCGAAAATTTGGAAGATCTTTTAAATATACATGATGAATTTGAGAAAAATGACACAAGTTCCCCGACAGCCATAGAACAAATAAAGAAGGAAGATATGTTAGAAGAAGTTCTAGATATTACGACATCTACAACTTTTGACATTCAACAAAACACTGGAGACGATGTTAAATCAATTAACCCGCACATATTATCAACGCTTATTCAAAAAGTCGAAAATTTGGAAGATCTTTTAAATATACATGATAAATTTGAGAAAATAAATGACACAAGTTCCCCGACAGCCATAGAACAAATAAAGCAGGAAGATATGTTAGATAAAGTTCTAGATAAGATGACACGCACAATTTCTGACAAGCAACAAAACACTGTTATATCTGAGAAAACCGGTTATACTAAAGCTTTTGACATATTTTTTGACAAATTGAAGGAAAAAACAATTCTGGAGAAACATAAAAAATAGATTTGATTGACGAAGCAAGAAATGACGGATACGCCAAGAGAGTTCGAAGATTACCAGATTGTAGATATTAAGTATGATCAATTTCACGAGATAATTTGTCAGAATGAGATTAGAAGAACTATTATACAACTTAATGATCATGGCAAAAGACACTTTTACACAAGAATTACAGACGACAAAAAAAATTAAGACTAAATTACAAAATGCAGTTCGCTACAAAAGAAGAATACTTCCTCTATCGAATAAACCTAATAAATTTATTTTTAACCTTAGAAGAACACGTGTTATCATTGAAACTCAAAAGAGAGCATTTTACAACAAATATGAAAGCAGGCGTCGAGATGCCTAATTTGATTAAAATTGATAATGAACTGAGCAGGCTAAAAAGGGATTATGTGTATCTCGATTTTAATCACAAAATGCGTCTAGATGAGATTTCTAAAAGTTTTATTTACCTTATAGACTATTGCTTGCTATACAAAATGCCAAATAAAGAAGAAGAGATTATTAAGTTTAGAAATTTCATGCAGAAACTTGAAAAAATAAAAAGAGTTTAGGTCTGAAAAAAGAAGAAACGGTTTTTGTCAAGTTAAATCAAAAGGCAACGAATGTGGAAACGAATAACACCGAGACAACTAATATGTCGGACAAGAGCGAGAATGTAAAGAGTATGTTAATGAAGAAAAACAAATGTCTTCACAATTTTGTGATGGAGTATTTCAATAAAATTATGAGAATTTGTGATGAATTTACCTTGTATTGCGATTTATACATGCCCGACGAATTATCAAATATCGGTACAGACACAAATGTAAAAACGGATTGCGCTGGGAAGACCAACATGCAAACGGAAATTGTAATAAATAGCGAACTGTCAAAAAACATTCAAGCTCGTCAAGTTGATAAAGCAAAGTTTCAAAGAAAGTTTTGTGATATGTTTAATAAACTCAAAATGGATCTGCCGAAAAAAATTCAAACTCGTCAAGTTGGTAATTCAAAGCTTATTGATATGTATAATAAACTTAAAATGGTTCTGCCAAAAATCATTCAAACTCGTCAAGTTGGTAATTCAAAATTTATTGATATGTATAATAAACTCAAAATGGATCTCAGCAATTATGATTTACCAAATTATAACGTAAAGATTGATATGAAACCAGAATCCTACGATAGATCTACGAAAACACATGACGAGCTGATAAAAGAACATGAATATCTTGGATTCATGGCTATAAAACATTTGGAAAAGATTAAGGAAACATACGCTTTATTATATATTCATTTAAATAGATTCAATGATAATATTGAAAATGTTACTAATTGCAACAATTTCATGAACCAAGAAATTTTCGTGGCTCATGACGTATTTGTGCTAGAAGGTGAGATTTCTCAGCTGAAACATGAACTGTTATGTTTCAAATATTATTAAAATCATAATAAATGAGGTAATATGACGTGTATAATGTTTAGTTTATAAATAACTTGAGACAACGGCAAAATATAGAATTTGAAAACAATGTGATTCCTTCATGCTCACTAATTCAACAAATCCAACGTTATCATATTGCTTCGATAATTATAAAATTAAATAGATAGAACGGAGTTAATATTTTTGCGTGTAATTATTTTATCAATTCTATAATTTGTTATGTATCATAAAGGCTATTTTAATAATTTTTATATAATTAATTTAGATGTCATTAAATCTACTAAATTAAAATAACTAATCGTAAAGCGTATATATGTATTTACTTTATCGTCGCTCAATGTAATTTAGTTGATGCATATGATAGAATGTTGTTTCTTGCATTTTCAGCATATTTCAATAACACAAATATTCTAAAGTTTCTATGCATGTATCTGATAAATTTTAATTTCATTGTAATCATGTCAATTTCAATAATCATTTTTTCTGATAAGTGTTAAAAATATTTTAACACAAAAATAATTTAACAATTATATCTTAAATAAAAATTGATATAGTATTGTCTATTCATATTATAAAATCTATTGTACCAAAACTTATAATGTTCAATTTTTAATATTTTTATAATAAAATTTGCCACTTTAATTATCTTAAAAGATGTCTATTCTCTTAAATAATTTAGAATTTTGTATACATATAAATATATATAGATACGCGCACATACAATATAACAACAGCGTATACAATAAAATTATACCATACATATATTCTATATATTTTTAAATCAATTATGGATAAATGCAAAATTACGACACTTCGAAAACCGTAAAAGAAGCTTGATACTTACAATTAGTTATTCTGCTAGGGCGAAACTCGAGCAATCAGAACTACATTGCAACAAATTTTATTTGACTTCAATTATCGATGTGCTTTAATTAAATTATTCTTAACTTGTGTACTTAGAAATTTGAACTAAACAAAAATTGCTAGGAAAATTTCAACTAAACGAGAATTGCTATAGTAATTCGATGGCTTGAACAATATTACTTTTCTTATCAATAAAGTTAAAGAATTCCAATGTCGAGATGCAGAAATTTTGAAAATAATATTTATATATATATTAAAATATACACATTTATCGTTTATTAATATGCAGTTTTTTTCTTATATTTCTAATTTTTATGTATGTAATGCATTATTACATTCGATAAAATTACCTAATGTTATTATTAATGACCTTAATCTTGTGGAAAATTATAAATTGTAAAAAAGAATTTGTATTTTAAATATTAAATGTAAAAAGGTCGTAGAAAATAGAAATTATTATATTATATAAAAATAAACCATTACCATTACACTTAATAAGAATAAATATATGCAATTTTTAAATGTATTAACTTGATTAATTTCATGTTTAAACATTTCATGTTTTAGTACGATCGAAAAAGCCTGAAAACTCTTTTGCGTCCATTATTTATAATGTAATTAATATTTATATTATTATTGTTTAAATACTTCAAAAGCAGTCAGTTTACAATAATAATTTAACTGATAACAAGGGCTAAACAAACTCTTTCATATACACGAACTTTTAAAGATACAAACAAAATTAAAATTTTATATCAGCGTTGTGTCTATTGCATTAATTAAAAATATGTAAGTTGAATGTTATAAATTTAAGCAAAAATGTTTTTTATTATTTTAGACAAAACTTTAAACACATGCAAAAATAGTGCAACCGAAAAAAATTTAACTTTTACTCGAATAATAGTCTAATAACATCTTTTCGCGTCGTTACGTGAGAAAATTTATTAAGTACTCCGAGAGAATATGGCTAATTGTATTCTTGCCTCGTGTTCTTTAAGATTTTAGTTTACTCATTCATGACATCGATCTTTCGAAACTCTCTCTTTCTTTCGCTCTCATATTCTCGTACGGCGTGTTTCAGGTTTCCATTTCCGGTCAGGGTCACTGTGAATTCCGTCAATGCATCTCGCGCCTACCCTGAAACCCGAGAATCGAAGCGAATTCGCTCGGTATGATGCACAGCTCGTAAAGCACCCCGTGAATCCATTTCCTGAGTTCTACGAAGTTCTCGTTTTCTCTCGTACGAGAAGCGAATTCGTGAGAAAATTTAAACATAAAATGAAATGCTAATGTACACTGCATTATTAACGAATATATTGGTCCTTTGATTATCGATTATCGATAGTTATCGATTATAATTAATTCGAACGAGGAGAAAAACAGTTTGGTCGGTGAAAACGTCGGTCGATGGGTCTTCTAAACGATATATATATATATATATATATATATATATATATATATATATATATATGTATATGCGTTATGAATATTTTAGAACGTCTTTCACGTAAATATATACCTTTAAAAAAAGGTAAAAAAAGGCGACCAATTAAGGGCACGCCATTAACAAAAATTATCCATTGCAAACCCATGTACAATAGAATTGTATGAAAAATTATCGATTATAAACCCATGTACAATCGTAACAAAGTAATGAAATAAAAAAAAATTGCGCCAAGTGAAAGTAGAAACTTGTACCAGTGGAAAATTAAAGTTGCAGACATATATAGAGTCGTATAATGAATCAATAAAAATTTAAATTTGCAAATGTAGAATTGTACCATAAAAAAACTTATCTTTTAAAAAAAAGATAAACAAGATGCCAAGTCCATGCGCCATGTGAAAAAGTGTTAAACAAAAAAGTATTTTTAAGTAAAAAAATCTATCAATTGACAAAATTTATGTTCTAAAATTAATATCTCTACAAAAAGTAATGTCCAATTATTGCGCGAATAAATAAACATTTTTATAAAAAATTAAAATTTAAAAACTTATGCAAATTTAAAATTAATATAAAATAAAAAGAAATAAAAAAATTTTAGTTAAAAAACTGGGCGCGCTGCAATGAGTTTAAAAGTAACAATTTAATTTTAATATCATTAGAATATTATTTAGCAGCGCGCCCAGTTTTTTTAACTAAAATTTTTTATTTCTTTTTATTTTATATTAATTTTAAATTTGCATAAGTTTTTAAATTTTAATTTTTTATAAAAATGTTTATTTATTCGCGCAATAATTGGACATTACTTTTTGTAGAGATATTAATTTTAGAACATAAATTTTTGTCAATTGATAGATTTTTTTACTTAAAAATACTTTTTTGTTTAACACTTTTTCACATGGCGCATGGACTTGGCATCTTGTTTATCTTTTTTTTAAAAGATAAGTTTTTTTATGGTACAATTCTACATTTGCAAATTTAAATTTTTATTGATTCATTATACGACTCTATATATGTCTGCAACTTTAATTTTCCACTGGTACAAGTTTCTACTTTCACTTGGCGCAATTTTTTTTTTATTTCATTACTTTTGTTACGATTGTACATGGGTTTATAATCGATAATTTTTCATACAATTCTATTGTACATGGGTTTGCAATGGATAATTTTTGTTAATGGCGTGCCCTTAACTGGTCGCCTTTTTTTACCTTTTTTAAAGGTGAGTTTTTAGAGATTATATCATTCATTTTTGTATATGATAAGCATCTTTAAATAAATAAGCAAATTCAATTTTTCTGGCATTTTCTTATTTTAGGTACATATATATCCAATAATTAATATACAAAATTAAATATTATTCATCACACAATTTGTATCAAAATAATATATTTTTAAAAATTTATTTTAAATTTATTTAATCATTTTTATCATTGTGATTGTAGTGGCAAGGATTTTATTGCTCAGTGTCATTGCAAGCATCTGGCCTGTATATACCATAATATATTGTGTAATACATTGGCTAAGTATGACAATATGGATTTTGATAGATTCCCATGGAATATTGGAATTTTGTCGGACTTGCAGTCATCCACCACATATGCAGCCTACAATTAAAGAACGCATTTATTCCATATTATTTGCTTCCGTTATTGGCATAGTGCACATTTTTATATATCTCAATGCTGTAGATAGCAAAACATTTTGAAAACATCTATCTTTCTATGTTATCTGCTTTTTTGAAAATATTGCAGCAAATTTATTATGGCAATATGCTTGTCCTCCTGCAGTTAAAGAGGCTTAGTACTT